TCAATTTGCACCGGCGCTCATGTCCTTGGGGGGGGGGGGGGACATCCCAGTGAGTGAGCCAATTACTGTACTTGGGACTGAGCCTTAGGCAGGGGAAGTGATTTTATGGGAAGATGCAAGCAATATGTGTGCTCCCTGGCGTTTCTCCCCTCTCCTGGGCTTAGTCCTACTGTCACCTGCCATCGGCCTTGTTGTTGATGTCTCCTCTCCCCCCCCCCAAGGACATGAGCGCCGTTGCACCTATTAGTTGACCACCCCTCTCCTGCAGCTTGTGCAACATTAATTTTGGTGTTTCGAAAATTAAGTGAAGTGGGACAACCGCAGAGTTACAGGTATCTTGTCCAAGAGAGTAGAAAGAATTTTTGCATACACGGCTGAGAGTCATCAACACCCACGTAAGACACGTGGCTACCGATCAGAAGGAGTCTGTTGGATTTTACAGGAAATTCAATTGTGACTTAATCTAGAAGAGAACTCAAGAAAAGAAAGTAAAAAGCAAAAGAAAAGTAGGCAGGAAAAGAAAACAGGCATAATAGGAGTATTGATTTTCTATTTGTGGTCGCTTACTATCCTACTATCCTAATCTCGTACTCTACTAATATCCTACTATCCTAATATCCTGATCAATATGTATCTAATCTGTTCAGCGGAATCTACTACTATCCTACTATCGTAATATCGTAATATCCTACTCTCCGGCGATTTCAGTCGATACGTATCTAATCTTGTCAGCGCAATCTACTACTATCCTACTCTCCTACTCTCCTATCGCCAGTCGCTCAGTATCCTACTATCCTACTCTCCGACTATCCTACTATCCTGATCTCCGGTGTCGCGAACTATGAACGCGGCCTATTATTATACGAATTAGCATTTGATATCGAGCTCGGGCGATTTAGCGGTTTATAGAATTCCCACAATTGAAGAATCGGTGTGTAAGTGGAATATAACAATCAATCAGCATCTAATCGAGCTATGATGGAAATTGGAAATATGATTTTATTCGCTATTAGTCCAGGTCCAGATAGTTGAGCAGCTCAACTTTCTTTGCTTCTTTGGATGAAAGGATAGGAATGGAACATATTCACTTGCTAGGGGCCTGGTTTAGTTTAACTGAGTGCACGCTCAATTTCGCTACTTTTATCAGTACAGTTGCCGCTCATACCACTTTCTGTCACCCACATTCAATCCTCGCCACCTTGTTCCCGTCCCATTCCTTACACCACATGTGAAAGCCAAGGTTTCAATGTCACCGCGAGGGCCGCAACGAAACTGGTGGTATCCACACTTTTACGCCCCTTATCAGTTCTTATCAGTTGCTACCACATTCGTTCACTCAACTTCTTGGTCCCCGCCTCACCCCACATATCATATATGAGTGCAAACTTTCCACCATCAACGCGAACGGTGTAACGCAAATTGGTGACATCAACATTTCGGCGTCCGTTATCAGCTTCTATCAGTAGCTATCACTTCCCGCCACCCACTATCAGTGTTCACGCCCGGCCCCGTATATATCCTAGAAGTTTGAGCGCTCTGGGTCCAAAGGGAGCGAAGTTATGAATTTCCGGTCACACACACACACACACACACACACACACACACACACACACACACACACACACACACACACACACACACACACACACACACACACACACACACACACACACACACACACACACACACACACACACACACACACACACACACACACACACACACACACACACACACACACACACACACAACACACACACACACACACACACACACACACACACACACACACACACACACACACACACACACACACACACACACACACACACAACACACACAACACACACACACACACACACACACACACACACACACACACACACACACAAACCGCTTACTATATACAGGGGGGGCCAAAAAAAGACATTTTGCCTATGTCGGACTTCGGCTCTTTTTTCTTCGCAGAGATTGCTGTCGTTGACGGGAGTTCCTCAGCAGAGTATTCCCTAAGTGTTCCTCTATTAGTGTACGCAGGCTCTCCTTCACTGCCCTCACCGTCTTCAGAATATGACGTCATCTGTCACCGTCGTCAGGCTCAAGGAGGTCTACCGTAAGAGCTTCAGCCTGAAGCTCTTACGCAATTTCGTGAATCGATTTAATGTTGGATAGTTTTCTAGAGGCATTAGCTACCACTGTGCAAATCCCCTCGGAACTAGCTTTCCAGTAAGGGTCGTTATGGTACACGATCCTTCGAAGACCCCATTGAGATCGACCAGTGCACCATGTTTCCAGGGCTAATTCTTCTGATGCCGTCCACGTACGTGGCCACTATGAAGATTTTCTTATAGAATGGAATGCACTCTTTAATAATAAGTTGGAACCGTTCGGTCTGAGTTGAGTAAAATGTGCTTAAATCCATCTGGAAGTGGAGGCAAAATGTCTTTTTTTTTTTCCCCCCCCCCCCCCCCTGTATAGTAGGATGTTTATGAACTGCTCCTACTCTTAAGCAATTTTAGTTTTAGCGGGGAGTTGGGAACTGCTCAAAATACTTTCCGATTTATGTGGTCTCTGAGCCATCTGAGACTGGGTTCTGATTACAGGGTGGTCCAAAATTATGAGGACCGCGTGCGCGCGCAGTCATATCCACTTTTTTCCGTATCGCTCCATTTTCATCTCGTTTTCTGTGCACTATGTGAGAGGTACATTGTCTTCTTCCTAATGAAACCAAGTTTCATGAAGTTCTCAAAACTAGTGAAATAACTACTTCACTTTGAGTCAGTCCTCAAATTGAACTCACTAGGGGCTCTGGCACGTTACATCTAGCAGCAGTCTAACCTATCAGGAAGCCCTTATGAGCAACAGTTCAACTCTTCAATAAGTTTGGAACCACCACAGATGGAAAATTCGGGGACTCGAAAGTTACAGTTACCACCAGGAAATCGTCGTTGGTGGCCGCTGGGCGGAGACCGGATAATTATCAGATTGGCAGAGAACTTTTAGGTCTGCCCCGTGTCGACTTTCGTACACCAAATGAAACTTTTACAGGACCGAGCACCCAAGAATAAAGCAAAAATTCTCTAAAAAGCGATTTTTCGAGTTCGTTGCTTTCGAAGAATTGTTACAATGGAACCATCCACCTAATAGCTCTAGATTTCTGTATTTCACACCCTGGATGTAAGCGCAAATGAATGCCCTACAGTAAGCGAGCGCGCGCCGTGAAAGCTGCTTGATCATTCCTTTGATACCCAAGAAGCTGATAACTAACGTTTATCCTTAAGACACCAATACAGACGGATTAACGATCGAATAAACACAGCAAATCCGTTGAACTACGTTACACGAATAACACAACGCATAAAGGCACAATAGAGATGATCGGATGGAAAGCAGCTCTTGGTGTTGAGGGCGTCGCCCTTGGAAGATGAGAAACGAGATCAGGAAGGAAGAGGTCGCGGTCCTCGGCCGCTGCTGCCAGACGTCTCCCGTGTCGGCGGCGTCGCTGGTCTCCGCCCTGGAAGTGATGAGTCAGATCAAAGAAAGAACTAACTGGGCACCAGAGAACCGCTATGCTTACACTACAAAGCTTTGATTCCCTGAAGGCAGAGCAGAAGGCCTGGAAACATTTTGACACGCCTTAGTTGCGTGCCACCGCACGCGCCATCCCCCTTCATCTGAAGGCTCGTGTTAACGGGGCAGTGGCAGATCTCAATTCTATTCTGGAATTACTTTGAGGTAAGAGTTACAAATACTTCCCTGAAGTTGGTTTGTTCCATCAAGCTACTATGCGTTTTTAACGACACAATGTCTTGGTCCTCATAATTTTGGACCACCCTGTACAACAATGCCTCAATAAGGTACGTGCCCCGACGAACTTTCAGCATCCTTGTAGGAGATTCTGAAATATCTGCTGTGTTGATAAAATTGTGCGCTACAAGTAGTTATCAGTGATTCCCTATAGGTAGTAAGACGTGGAGAACTGTTTGCTGATGGAAATGCTGCAATCGAGAACCAAGATAGCACAGAAATCGAAAAGCAAAGAAGGACACTGTTATTTGCTACTGTTTGCTACTTTTTTCAACTCAATGGCATCAAAGTGGTTTTTACCTTGAAAGGTGCGATAAAGCTTGTGAGATTCAACGAAACAAACGAGATTGCTCACTAGGAAAGTCCCAAAAGTTGAAGCGCTTTCAGAACGGTTTTTTGCATGCTATGGGGGCTGCGCGTGGAGCCCATGACAGATGACCATTATTCTGAGCGGCTTTTGGAATGTCAAAAAGTATATGGAACTAATGGGGTCCGATCCTCTTCGAGGAAAATCTGTGCCTTTCTCGGTTTTCTTTCTTCCTTGCGCTCACAGAGGGTAGCGCTTGAAACCTTTGATGGAACCTCCTTAACGGCAAATTTCTTTCAAATTGATTATGTTTTGAAGAGAAGCCTCCTTCACTATACTAGCATATTATGTTGGATGGGAGAAAGCGTCAGGAATAAAAAATCATTTCATTAGAAGTTCACGAGTATGACCTAATCCCAGCTAAAGTTCAAATCGCTGTAAAAAGCTCACAGTTGAGAAAAGCAATCGACCGCATGGCAAAAACATTGAAGCGAGGGATTACGATAAAGTAGGTGTGGGTTCTTAGCAGGAAGGTCTTTCAGGACATGGAGCCTTTTTGAAAACGGTTTTTTGCATGATAAAGGGGCACATGCATGGAGTACAAAACTAGGCTCCATTTTTTCTGAGCGGCCCTCTGAATGCCAAAAAAGGAGTGAAAAAATTTCTTCAGAAATCGGAGTTTTCACACCTTCAACGTGGTTTATATCACTCGTTATGTTAAGTGGACGCACAATAGAAGGTTTTCTTCACCTGAACGTTGAAAACAGCGTGGAATAAAGCCAATACCAAAAATTGTATATAATAAGTGCTAATGTATGCTATACGAAGTTTTTCATAGCATACATTAAACGAAGTTTTTAATAAACTTTGAAATATGAAATCTCAGTTATTGTTCTTGATCAGATCCAGATTCGTACTCATTTTCACAGTCTTCGTTTCTTGTGTCTCGCCTCATTGCTTGGTCAAGCAAGCCTGCGATTTCAGCATCCTAAAAATGACCTTTCGCTGTCACTGACAATGAGATTGAATTACGCTTCAACTTTAAAGACAAATGAACGAGTGTGAAAAGAAGCTAGTATAAACTAATGGATGAATTTCATAAGCTTTTGAAGATCTTGCTAACCTTGGCCACATCGATAGGCAGCTTTTGATCTCGATTTCGTATCCAAGCATTGGCACCACTATCAAGAAGTATTTGTACACAATCTCTGTGACCACGCCATGAAGCAGCATGCAGTGGGGTGTCGCCCAACTTATTCTGAAAAGCTAAACATTAAGTTTATTCTTCAATAAGCTTCTCGGTGAATACCTTCTCCCAACAGGGTGAATAACGGTCGAGGATTTCCTCGACCATAGCTCTCTACCATGCGAGAGAGTAGTGCCGAGAGTGAACATCCGCGCGGAGAGCACAGACGGCACGGCATGGCGAGTGTGAATGTCCGCGCGAGAGATCGTCTCTGATCGGGCAGAGAATCCTCGACGTGCCGTTGAGGAATCCTCAAGCGATATTCACCCTGCTCTACAACCCGCCGGTGGGCGGGGCTCTGGCGATTCTTTGCCACCATCACTTTATTGGTATGTAAAAACTAAAGTGATGCCAAAGTTATGCCATAACTAAACTTTATGCCAGTGCAATCATGTCGTTCGAATGATTATGCTTTAGGAGCAGCTCGGCGGTGGATACTACTGCGCAACCCCCCGAATAACCTGTTTCGATGCGACGCCACGCCTTAAGCTGTTGACCTGCCCCCGGGCAATTCCCGTAGAAAGAGCGAGTAATTCATGAAACTGCATCGAGAGGGAGAGGTCGTTCCAGCCTTAAAACTACCCATTATGACGGCTGACTTAAAATGAGCTATTGAAGGGTACATGAAATGTGCAAAACAGCAAAAATGTTAGTCATGTAAGTAAGAATCAAATTCGATTACAATAAACAGCACGCACACACCCAGGTTGGTATCAGACTCAGCGTTTGCTGTTGTGATTGCCCTTTGCCATCGTGACAGTGACGTCGCGGAGTCGAATACCTACCTCGTTAACACCAGTCAGTGAAATGTTCCCAAATTTAAATCGCAAGAACTTCTACGATTTCCTTTCGTATGATGTATTCATGAAACAAACTCGAAAAAAAAAATGATGGAATAGAGATGTTTCCAGTGTAAAAGTGAAATAGTTTTCCTCTATCACAACAAAACAAGAATAGACTACTAGAATATGGAGCTAATTAAACGATGAAATCTTAATGGCCCACTCTACATACCTGAGATGAGATAGTTATTCCTGGGGTGCTCGAGAAGGCATTTCACAACTCCAAGATGGCCACCATGACATGCCCAATACAGAGCTGTTGAACCAGATTTGTCGAGGCTGGTTCACAGATACCTGAATATACCCAGTTCGAAGTTTCTAAGGCGTGAGAAATGTGACAATGCTACGCTTGGTCAATTTCTACCACCTGATTATTTATACAGTCCTTCAGGAAAATAACATTACCTCGCCGAGCTGCTTCGTGTAAAGGGTTCGACAGTTCTTCAACATTTTCACTTACAACTGGAACAAGCATTTCAACAAGGGAACTTTATGTGGTAGAAATCAGTTCATATAGAAAAATACGAATGCATCTGCGTGGAAATTCATCACACAAAAAATCGGAAATGGATTATGATGACTTATTGCCTGGTACATGCATAACGCACAATGAACCCCGAATTCTCATAGATGAAGCTTCGAGTTCCCACAAAGATAGTCGGCGACCGCAAAGTGATACACCTAACTGACAGCTAGGGGCTACAGCCCCAAGAAGTCTCGATCACGCGTTTTTTGAAGTACAGCGCAATGGTCTACCAAGACCGACGCCATAGTCGGCGAACGCGTTATCCGCGATACAGTGCTATTTGATTAGCCACCCGTTAGACCGACCATCGGCGCGTATTGGCTTTTTGGCGCGACATGAACGGAGAGAGGATTCTGCGAGCGCCGCCGTCTCACATCAAATTCGTGGATTTTAAGCTGTAAATAGGCAAAACACGAATGCGACGAAATGTTTTCGATTATATTCGACGTGATAAACATATCGGAAGGAAAAATTGGAAAAATTCTGTCGAAGAGACGCCTTATGGCCGTTAAAAAGCGAATTTTACTTGCATTCGCTCTAGTGGTTTTTGAAGAATTATTCAAAAACCGTGGCAGTTGTTCAGTGAAAACACCATTTATTGCATACGAATAGATTTGCATTCCAATCCCTTAGTGCCGCTTTTATGGGCGCGCAATGTGGCTCGGGGGGGCCAGTCGCCGCGCGCGGCTCAGCGATGTAGTGTAACTCGAACATTCCAGCTTCTCACGGAACATTCCAGCTTCTCACGCATGCTAAGTGACTGCCCTCACCCTCACCCCCCTGAATTGGCTACATTCCCCCTGGCTCACGAATGGCTCCCAGACAATACCTAACCATTTGGGCGCGGCCGCGGCGAACGCGGCCGAGTCGATTGTGCCCGCGAACCGTTGAAAACGCACTCGAGGTGCCCGCGAACTGTGCTGTGCTGAGTTCGCGGGCACCTATCAACTCGGCCGCGTTCGCCGCGGCCGCGCCCAAATGGTTAGGTATTGTCTGGGAGCCCACGAATTTCCGGTTGTTT